TTTTTTTGAGACAGTGTCTCACTTTGCCACCCTCTGTAGAGTGCTATGGCATCACGCTCACGGCATCCTCAAACTCTTGGGCTTAAACGATTCTCTTGCCTCAGCCTCCCAAGTAACTGGGACTACAGGTGCCTGCCACAACGCCCAGCTATTTTTTTGTTGTAGTTGTCACTGTTGTTTGGCAGGCCCAGGCTGGGTTCGAACCTGCCTGCCCTGGTGTATGTGGTGTGGCCAGTGCCCTAGCTGCTGAGCTATGGGCACCAAGCCAGTGTTGGATTATTCTTAATTACAGAGTTGAAAAGTGAGGCACGGAAGGGCGAGGCATGGCTGGGACATACTCTTCCTCAAAAGCTCCAGTGGGAGATTTGTCTGCTGTGTCAGTAGGCACTGCTTTCCCTGGCCTGGTCGTCCTCCTCCAATGCCCAGCTCCAATGTTTACTGTGGAGCCAGCAGGCTGGGTACGCTGAGGATTTCAGACTGCTGGCTCCTACCCTGTTCTCAGCTTATCAGCCAGCTCTCTCCCCAGCATGCTTCCTCAGCCCTCACTTGATGTGAGGCAATGTCTGATTAACCAGCCTGTGGTGACTCACTTTTTCCTGTCCTCTCAGCCTTCTTCCTTCTATTCACTTCTGTGTCTCTTAAGCCCTGGGCTCAGAGGAAGGAGTGACCGTCCCACTTGGTTCCAGCCCACGTGGGTAGCTGGTTGCCTCCTCCCTGGGCAGGGTGGGGAGAGAGAGAGGCACTGGAGCAGAGGAAGGTCATCTGGGCCAGGGCCTCATCTCCACAGTACGCTGAGGCAGGTTTGGATGTGTCAGATTTTATTGCCCATTACTGCTTCCTTCTAAGGGTTGCTGTCACATTCCAGTGACAGGTCTTCCTGTCCTCAGAGTGGGCCTAAGGAAATGATGAGTGACAGAAGGGTAGGCTATTGACTTGGGCAACCTAGGTTTGAATCCCAGCTCTGCCATGCTGGGCAGGTGACCCAGAGCAGAGCACTCCCCTCTCTCTTTCCTGGGAGAGGGGACAATATCCATGTGAGTTACTATGAGTAAATAGAAATTAATGAACACAGCGAGTGCTGTCACACACCTGAGCACAACAGAAACTGGTGTTCAAGTACAGATTGTGTCTGCTCTGCTTAAAAGGGATGCCCTGTAGAGTGGGCATCTGGCTGGGGTTCTGCCTTAAAGAAACTGGTTTTAGCCTGTTTAGAAGAGCAAGGAGGCTGGGCCCGATGGCTCACATCTGTAATCCTAGCACTCTGGGAAGCCAAAGCAAGTGGATTGCCTGAACTCATGAGATTGAGACCAGTCTGAGCCAGAGCAAGACCCCATCTCCAAAAAAATAGCCGGGCGT